CATATGCTCATTTGTCTCTTTTTATATTTAATACAGATGTTGTTGCCCGCCATTCCTAAGATGTGTGTGTGCTCAGTGTATTTGCATGTCCAGATTTCACCATGAAAAGTTCATTTTAGGAGCCCATCTATTGTCAGACTGGACATTTTAGCCACTATAAGAAATGTGACCTTATCAAGCCCTATTGAGTCACTGTTTATAGTGATTTTTCTGATAATGTCTTTGTTAAGTTCATGTTTTATTTTTCTTACAGTATTTCACTGGTCTTGAATGTGGACATAAGTTTTGTATGCAATGCTGGAGTGAATATTTAACTACCAAAATAATGGAAGAAGGCATGGGTCAGGTAAAGATACCAAGTTGTTTCTCACTTTTTTGTTGAATTTCCTATAGTGTTCAGACCCTTGCACAAATTTGCACAAATAAAAACAGGTGAAGCTTTGTGTATCATGAATCGCATGGGGAACATTTTTCTAGATTCAAACAACTAAAGGTAATAGGCTTTTTCCTAAAGTAATGTGGCATTCCAGTTAAAGAGCCACTCCAGGTAATGTTTTCTCAGCCGGCATCAGTATTGGTATATGTGAACTGAAACTTGTTGCACAGTTTTGTAAGATTATCTTGCTTTTACTTTTAAAGTTGTGTGTTTAAAAACCAATCACTCAGGTTAGCAAGTCTAGTTGCTTTATGGTGATAAATATACTCTCACACACATTTCCTTTAAGGAGAAAGGGAAGGACTGAGATCCTATAAACATTAAGGTATTCCCAGAACCTAGCAAAGTGCCTGGCAATGGTAAGCATTCATTAAATATTTGTTGAATGAAGACAGTTTAAATTTCAATCTTTTTCAGACTATTTCGTGTCCTGCTCATGGTTGTGATATCTTAGTGGATGACAACACAGTTATGTAAGTATTTTTGATAGATTCTGCATGTGAATATTGGTTAGTTGGTTAAACCAAATTAATTTTTACTTAGCACCTCAAAGGAAGTGAAACTTCTCAAAGTCTGAAGAAACTTTTACATCTACATTCCATTCCTTAGTAGCAGTACCAAAGTCCATTTGTAACTTGGTTAAACGCCTGATCACTATTCTTACAAACTTAGAAATGCACGGTAGCTAGCTAGATTTTGATAAACCTTGGGATTGGAGATTATATTGTGCATATGTGTTAGTTGAGGTGCTCTTGGAAGCAGATCCCAAGGTAGAAAAAAAAGTGAAACTGACTCATTGTGGAACAGCATATGTGTAAGGTAAACAGCAGGAGCAGATAGACATTGATGTAAGCCTGACATCTGTTAAAGGCAAGAAAGAAGGAAGATTCAACAGGAAGAGACTTCACATGATACAGCTATGAGAGTCTTTAGCAGCCCTGTGGGGGAACTTCTGTGCATAGATTGCCTATAGAGGGATACCTTAATAAGTAGAAAGAGCTGGGCCCAGTACGCTTGATATGCTCAGTCATTGACGGAGACTACCCAAGGAATCGTGGTCTTTGCTGAAACACTGCTACTGATTTCAGATACACTACAGCTGGAGGCAAGCTGGAGGCTTTCAGCTAACAACTCTTCTTGTGAAAGGTTCTTTCTTTTTTTTCTTTCAACTTTTATTTTAGGTTCAGGTGTACATGTGCAGGTTTGTTACATGGGTAAATTCCTTGTCCGTAAGGTTTGGTGTACAAATAATCCCATCACCCAGGTAGTGAGCACAATACCTAATAGTTTTTCAACTCTTGCCGTCCCACCCTACTCACTCTAATAGTCCCCACTGTCTTTTATTCTCATCTTCACATGTATTCGCCGTTTAGCTCCCACTTAAAAATGAGAACATGCGGTATTGAGTTTTTCTGTGTTAATTCATTTAGAATGATGACCTCTAGCTGCATTTGTATTGCTGCAAAGGACATGATTGTGCTGTCTTTTTTATGACTGCGTAGTGTTTCATGGTGTACATGTGCCACCATTTCTTTATCAGTCCACTCTTGATGGGCATGTAGATTGATTTCATGTGTTTGCTATTGTGACTAATGCCACAGTGAACATACTAATGAATGTGTCTTTTAGGTAGAGTGATTTATTTTCCCTGTGATCTCACCAATATCTGTTATTTTCTTTCTTTTTAAAAGTATTTTTTTGTTTTAATTTTTTTTTACTTTTAAATAATATTCCTTATGACTGGTGTGAGATGATATGGTACATCATTATGGTTTTAATTTGCATTTCTCTAATGATTAGTGTTGTTGAACTTTTTTTGAATCTGTTGGCTGTGTGTATGTCTTGAGAAGTGTCTATTCATGTACTTTGCCCTTTTTTTTCTTTTTTTAAGTGAAAGCAAATTTATTAGAGAAGTAAAGAAACAAAGGAATGGCTACTTCATTGACAGAGTAGCCTGCTTATTTTTAAATGGGATTATTTGTTTTTTGCTTGTTTAAGTTCCTTTATAGATTCTGGATATGAGGCTTTTTTTGGGTGTATAATTTGAATATTTTCTCCCATTCTGTAGGTTGTCTGTTTACTCTGTTTTGATAGTTTCTTTAGCTGTACAGAAGCTCATTAGTTTAATTAAGTCCCACTTGTCAATTTTTGCTTTTGTTGCATTTGCGTTTGGGGACTTTGTCACAAATTCTTTGCTAAGGCTGATGTCTAGAATGGTATTTCCTGGATTTTCTTCTAAGATTTTTATAGATTGAGCTCTTACATTAACGTATTTAATCCTTTAGATAATTTTTGTATATGGTGAAAGATACAGGGGTTAAGTTTCATTCTTCTGCATGTGGCTAGCTAGTTATCCTAAAAACCATTTATGTGTGTGTGACTATTATCGATAGGATTGCATTATTTATTTGGCTCTCGCCTTGAATGTTGTTGGTATATATTAAATGCTACTGAATTTTGTACATTTATTTTGTATGCTGAAACTTTACTGACTTTGTCAGCTCTCGGAGCCTTTTGGCAATGTCTTTAGGGTTATTTCTAGGTATAGAATCATCATCAGTGAAGACTGATAATTTGACTTCTTTTCCTATTTGGATACGTTTTATTTCTTTCTCTTGCCTGATTGCTCTGGCTAGGACCTCCAGTACTATGTTGAATAGGAGTGGTGAGTATGGGCATCCCTTTCCTAAGTGGAATGCTTCCAGCTTTTGCCTGTTTTCAGTATGATGTTGGCTGTGGGTTTGTCATAGATGGCTCTTATTATTTTGAGGTATGTTCCTTCAAAGCCTAGTTTGTTGATGGTTTTTATCATGAAGAGATGTTGGACTTTATTGAAAGCTTTCCCTGTGTCATTTGAGGAGATGATAATGGTTTTTAATTTTGTTTATGTGGTGAATTAATGTATTGGTTTGCCCAGGCTGGAGTGCAGTGGTGCCATATCGGCTCACTGCAACCTCTGCCTCCTGGATTCAAGCAGTTCTCCTGCCTCAGCCTCCCGAGTAGGTGAGATAACAGGTGTACACCACCATGTCCGGCTAAGCTTTGTATTTTTAGTAGAGACAGAGTTTTGTCATGTTGGCCAGGCTGGTCTCGAACTCCTGACCTCAGGTGATCCGCCTGCCTCGGCCTTCCAAAGTGCTAGGATTACAGGCGTGAGCCAGTGCACCCGGCCAATAACTATTTTCAGTTTGTGATGGCAACAAATCGTTGCCAAGAGAATTGTCTTATAAATGACCAGAGTGACACTTGCTGCCACCTTCTTGAGAATGCCTAGTCTCAAAGATGGATGCTCACTTTCTTTTACTTCCTTATCAATATCAGATAAACTAAGGGCAGAACCTTGTCCTAATAACTATTGGCTGATGTTTGCTATCACCAGTCCTGGTGGTCCATGCCAGGTTTAGATAACTTTTTAGGTTAAGGTCAGCTATCAGAAATCATTAGGATTTGTCATACCCAAAAAGCATTATGGGAATACATGTGTAAATAAGATGTGTTTGTTTGGCAAGCAGGGCATCTGACTTTTGGCCTGATAATATTCCTTATTATTATTTATTATTATAAAATCTGTAACATAAAACTCATTTTAATTACAGTCATCCTTAGTGTACTGGGGATTGGTTCCAGGACCCACACCCTACACCCTGAATATACCAAAATCTGCACATGCTCATGGCAGCCCAGCAGAACCCATGTATACAAAAATTCGACCATCTGTATATGCAGGTTCCACATCTACAAGTAACTATTTTCGATTCACATTTGGTTGAAAACTATTCATGTGTAAGTGAACCCATGCAGGTCAAACCTGTGTTGTTTAAGAAGCGATGGGTTTTTTTTTGTTTTTTGTTTCTTTGAGATGGACTCTCTCTCTGTTGCCCAGAGTGGAGTGCAGTAGTGGCATGATCTCGGCTCACTGCAACCTCTGCCTCCTAGGTTCAAGTGATTGTCCTGCCTCAGCCTCCTGAGTAGCTGGGATTACAGGTGCCCGCCACCATGCTCAGCTAATTTTTTTTTTTGGAATTTTAGTAGAGATGAGGTTTCTCCATGTTGGCCAGGCTGGTTTTCAACTCCTGACCCCAAGTGATCCGACCACTTCTGCCTCCCAAAGTGCTAGGATTACAGGTGTGAGCAATTGCTCCTGGCCAGCAACTGTATTTTTAAGTATATAATCCAGTGGCTTTTAGTATATACATAATATTATTCTAGAAACATTGCCTAATGGCAGACTATTTTGATCACCTTATATCTGTTAAGTAATCATTCGCTACTCCTTTCTCCCTCTCTGGACATTTCATATAAATAGAATCATATAATATGTTGCCTTTTGTGATTGGCTTCTTTAATGTTTTCAAGATTCATCCATGTTGTATTATGAATCAACACTTTATTCCTTTTCATTGCTGAATAATGGTTCCATTATATGAACATTTCCATTTTTTACAGAAATGTGTTATGTGAACATATGAACATTTGTGTACAAGTTTTTCATTGAACACCTGTTTTTTTTTTTTTTTAAGACGGAGTCT